ATAGAGCAGAGGTATTTAACCCCGCTCCTCATGACCAACCGCTCTGCAGGTTTTTAAATAGTTCCCTACTTCAACTCACCTGACTGAAATGAATGAGTGATTGACAGGCTTCAGCTAAACCTCAGGACATTCTAAGTCAGTAATTTAATTATTTAAATCAGGTGTGCTGAAGCAGGGAAAGTTAAAACATGCAGGGATTAACGAGGAATTGTGTTGAACCACAGCCACTACAGAAAACTTAGCAAACACAAAGATGACTAAACTCAGTCAATTTTACAAATGTTGTTAAACAAATTCCAGTGGTAGTAGCTGAAAGTCATTCACAAGATTGCACATGATGTCATTTATAAGGTTCAATAAAAACAGCCACTACTCCATCATTTCTCAACATAAGATGAAATTTCAGCATGAAAGGTGACATAAATTCCTTACAAGGAATGCTTGGCTTTTCTTTAAGGAGTGTCCTGATAGCTATGTCTCTTTTTTTAATGGTCATTTGAACAGCATTGCTTGCAAAAGCTTGTTACATCCACATCAGATTTAGATCACATTGTGGAAGACCTGTGAGTGGGCTGAAGTTGAAGGAAGAGCAAAGAAATGTAAAGCAACAAACAACCCAAAACTATTGATCTGTTCTCAAAAGAACCTCATTGTTAATGCCAGTTGGACACCGATGAAAAATAACTTTGTCCGCCTGTTTCATCCTCCCATGGTTTTTCACACTTTTACATCATATTGATTGAGGAGGAAAAAGTCCCAAAAGGCTGTGTTTCACCCATCAGATGTCAGGTCAAAGACATTTAAGTCTTTTTTTTTCCTTTGAAAGAGGTGACATTTAACACAGTGATGTTCTGATTTTTTTAATCCTTGTGTTTTGGGGGCTGCTGTGAAGCAAGTATCTTGTTGCTGCAGATCTCAGCAGAAGGACGGTTGCTGCAGGCTACTTCTTTCTCCCCTCGAGTCTGTGTACGTACGTCATCTATTTGAAGTGGACATGCAAGTGAAATAGCGGGGATAAACATGGTGTGCAATAGCAACAGACTTTCTCATTGGTGCATCCACATGACTGCCTCCTTGTTAAGGTGGGCGTTTTGCTTTTTGTTGCTCTGCAGATACCCAATAATATTAGGTTTCAGTGCTGTCCTGTGCTCATCTAATCAGGATATTATATCCATCAGGACAGAGAGGCAGCTTTTAACTATATTATGGGCTGTAGCTCTGCCAAACATTACTGATATGTAACCACCAAGGTAAGACAGTCAACGGAAGTGAATTTATGGCTCGGTTTCCTGGTACCTTACTCAGCAGGTCTAAATAAAGACAGGGTCAAAGAAGGGTTCAAAAAGCAGCTCTTAATGTGTGATCAAATCTTCAGTGATTTATTTTATTGAGTACTTACCTTTGTCATGTTCTACTTTCCTGGATCCAGCTGGTTTATTGAGGGCAGATGATTTGATGCACCCACAGCAGGCCTCCAGTGCCCCCTTCAGACAGCAGGAGGGATTCATGTGCAAAACAGATTCTACTTCTCAGTCCAAATTGAAGTACATTGCTGGTATAAGGAGGAACAACTTTAAAAAGACACAGAACAATATAAAATACTTAACAAAAAAATCAGAATTGAACTGAAGATGACTGATTTTTAATTAAACTACAGTAATCAAAAATTGTTTTATCTTAATATAAATAAGCTCTGTGATCCTCATTTTGGGTGTTTTTCTCTCCCCTTACATAAATTAATCTTATTATGGTCACTTAAATTTTGTAAAATAGTTTTGAATATTTTTTTTCTCAAAGCTTAAAAGAAATGTGTAAGCATTTTGTTCATGCTCTAATGGATTTACTGTCTATGCACACTGAATCCTAAGGAAACACAAGACATTATTTAGGCCAAGAGTAACTTTAAAGAAAATAGTTCGGTTCAGGAAAGACTTGTTATAAATTCAAAACAAACACACTGAAAGACTAACAAGTGGGCCTGCGCAAAATCGTATGGTGTGCAGTTAATCATCAGAAAAACTGTCAACACCTAATATTTGCCACCTTGCAATTACTGCAGGTAGTGTCACGAAATGACATGTTTTTGTGTGCGACACACTCACAATCAAGCACACATGTGAAACCAGTGATAAAGAGCCAGTCAACGTTGTTGAAAAGGTGGGTTTCAATTCTTTGCCACACATTTGAACCTGTTAAAATGAGAAAGTTAGCTGGACAGATCATTTGTAAGTATAATTTTAGAACACAGGGTTACTGATTTAGAGTTTAAAACATGCCAGTACAATTGGCTAAAATACACAATTATGATTTTTTTTTTGCCAATATTGCCCACCCCTACTAACAAGACTATAATAACTCAATCAAGTGTACAGATGTGCTAAAATTTGGTGTGGTAGTAGCTGAGTCATTCACAATATAGTCTAAAAACATAGACTCAGTATTGCATGAGACTGTGCACATCATTCTTTTTAAGGTAAAAACAAAAACAAAATCCTAACATAAAATGTTAGTTTAAAACTCTGCCATGAGAGGCAGCCATGTGCATTCTTTAAAGCAGGGGTCTGCAACCTGCGGCTCTGGGGCCACATGCGGCTCTTTGAAAATGTCACCAAACATGACAGGATATTTTGTTTTGTTTTATACAGAAATAAATTTGTGTGCAAATATGAAATGAATACTACTAATTCAAAAAGTAAACTGTTAGCCTGTTGTTTACTTAAATATTCCAATTTCTTTCTATGATCTTTCTCTCAAATCCATCAGAATTGCATTTAAAGAATTTGAAGACTACATAATAATAAGATTATAATATTTCAGTACTAGTTTTATGAAATTCAGTATATGGTATTTTTCTCATTTAAATGAATATGGTCTTTTTATTTGTCCTAATGTGTATAATATAAAAAACACAACAGTATTTTTTTAGTTTTATAATGTCTCCTCCACGGACCGTAAAGGTTCCCGAAAAGGCTTTGGAAAGGCCCACGGACCACCACTTGCTAATCATAGTTGTAGCTTGTTTTGTGGCTCCGGACACATTTTATTAGTGAGACTAGGAGCACAAACTGCTCTTTTGATCATAAAGGCTGCAGACCTCTGCCTTAAAGGAAAAAATATTATTACATTAATCTTTTATATCAGCGCTACCATATCTGTATTTCATGTAAAATAATCCACAGAGTGGAAATAGCAAGGCTGCTATCAGTTTGTAATGATGCAATTCTTTAAGCATTTACAAGTGTTTTCAACACTTGAGGTTAAAAAACTGAACATTTCACGTCTCAGGAGTTCATTTGTCCCAGACTTCCTGCAAACAAAGGGGTGCAACATCACGTTTTTATTGCATTTTTTCTTATTTTAAAATTTGCAACACTTTTTATTGAGAAAATTAATTTTCCAGTTATACCTTGTAATGTGCAAGACAGTTTTGTATTTTTTTTTTGATGGCAAACGCACTTACATAGAAAATGTCTTAAAAGGCAGCATGGTATTGTAAAATACCATGCTACTTTTCTGCATTAATGAAAAGTACCGTGCATTAATCAGAGTACCGTATTTTGCCAAAACACAGACAAACCCCAATCCATCACAAAAATATACAATTAGTCAAAGACTTTTTGTGAATACTGTAACATTTCAGCTGAATTTCCAAACGTTAGCTTGCACCCATCACACTTGACAAAAGACAAATACTTTACCCAAGTGATTAAATCAATTTTGACAAATGGTTATTCATGGGGCTTATGAGACTGGTGATAACAGGTGTCTCGGTTAAGCTTTCATTTCTGCTCTTTAGACATTAAAATTTCTTGAGTCCATTCATCTTCAACAATATGTACTGGAAGGTAGGTACGCTGATCTTTTCCGGTTTTTAAAGCAACCTTTAATATCCTTTTTTGATTATTGTCAGCCAAAAGCTGCTTGTTCACTTTATTTTGCTGTGTTACACAGCTAAAATGCAGACATTTGTTTTTCAAATAAAATACAGGTCATTGACAAAACTTTATATATTTACAGTAAATAAGGAAACCTATAAGTTTTGTACACACATCCACTGGAGAACAATAAATTACACATTACACTGAAAATGAGAGTTTTAAAATGTTTATTAAAAAAATAGAAAACTTACATTTAAAAAAAAAGACAAGATATACATCTAAATGCGACTTGTTAACACATCACAACCCATCCTTCAGTACACTGATAAGACCTGGGGATTTGTTGAGCTGCACTACAGTAACAAACCACATCATCTTCAAATCAAGGTGCTGAAAAGCTGAAAAAACAGAGGAGAAAAAAAAAAAAAAACATGGCAGGTAATGCCAAAAATACCGGGCTCGGTTTGGATTAATCAGACTTTTTGAAACACGAGTCGTCAAATTTTGGTTGTAGCTTATAGCTTCACCAAAACCTAAAGGGGGGATTTATGGCATACCCAGCTTCAGACCTCTTGTGGTTTGTTGTGTCAACCAAGTAGCTGTAAAATCTTGTTTTTAAAAATACTAATTTTAAATATGGCTGAGCAAAATGTCTGAAATATAACGATTTCTTCCACCTGATGTATAATTTGCTTATTTGAGAAAAAAAAGTTATTGACATGATGCCAGTTCTAACAATCACCGACTGTAAAGGTAATCTGCTCATTGAGCGGACAACCAAAAGGTGGCACATATAAATAATCACTGTGTAAACCTTGGCAGTACAGACTTAAACAAATACAGGAAGCTCTTGCTATGTTACCAAAAAAAAAAAAAAAAAAAANTGTATAATTTGCTTATTTGAGAAAAAAAAGTTATTGACATGATGCCAGTTCTAACAATCACCGACTGTAAAGGTAATCTGCTCATTGAGCGGACATCCAGGATGTGCCATTATGACAGAGTATCAGGGTCAGACTACACAATTTATTTATTTTTGTTATGAGAATACTCTTGCTATGTTACCAAAAAAAAAAAAAAAAAAAAAGAATTTAGCAGATTTGGCCAGTTATGGAAGTTAACCTTTTGCTTTAACAAAATCAAAGCATATATAAAGGCAAAAAAAGACACTTTGCTGGTATAAGTAGCACCAACTATTCTGGAAATGACATGTAAACATGGCTAATGGTGCTTTCCACCCCGACACAGTCTAAGAGAGGGAAAACATCTGGATGTTTAAGGTTTAAAATGGGGACTAGAGGGAACTATCTGGAAAGACAGTTGGCACAATTTCAAGTGATCCCAAAACAACAACAAAAAAGATAAACTCAAGTAAAAAGTTTGTCATCATCAAGAAGGGGAATTTGGCACATTTTTAATGTTATACCATGGCTCCTCCTTCTGGAAAGTTGGAAATACCCAATCACTCACTTGTGCGCACACACACACTTTGTCAAGGCCCTTGAATCCATCTATTGCACAGATCAATACAAAAAAAAATTCCCTAAAATCAACTAAAATGTGACATAAATTAAATTAAAACAATTGCACAGAAATGCAATCAACACAAAATAAAGTGGCAACGTTTACAGTACAAAACAATAGTGTCAATGTGGGAAAAATTAAAATAAAAAAAATCCTCCTGTGATTAAGACATGAACAAAAAAGACCAACACTCACAATCAAACAAAAACAATTATACATTCATACCAGTCGTCACAGTGTAAGCACTTGACATTTTCTGCCTTGTGCCGTCACATGAAAAACATTGTCAGCTTTGCGCTGCATAGGTAGAAAGGTAAAGCAGTGCTTTGCTTTAGTTTAGAGTACAAAATACTTTAAACTTTAGAGCTGTGATTAGAGGCGAGAAACAAACGCATTCAGAAGACCAAGTGAGACTAAAACCTGAGCAAAGCTCAGTAAGAAACCAAGCTTCGGGAGATGATGGTTGGAGGAACCACATCAGCACTATGGCACATGATGTTGAAGATGCTCAAAGTTGCACGGACAATCAATACATCACAGGAGGTGACGCTGAGGAGGAAGGCCCAGAGTCACCAGTTCATCCATTGACTTTGTGCTGGTGTACGTCCCGTTCAGAGAGAGGGTTCGGACTTTTCAGAATGATGGTAGGAAATAAGCACAGATGAGACCTGAAGCCTTTCGCAGGTTTTCAACAAGCAATGAGAAACGCCTTGAATTGTCTTGTGACTTTTAAACACAACGGAGATGCTTTCATGACAGGACACAGAGAGTTCTTTAGCTCTTACTTCAGTTAGGAGCAGGGGAACTGTCCTTCTTCCTGCGTCTCCAGGTGTTGCAGTTGTACTGCTGCTGGTTTCGGAAACTTGACACCACGTGAGGACTCTGAGGGACCAACCTGTGCTGAGGACTAAAGTTGCCTTGGAGGTTACAGGCAGCTTGGTTCTGCTTGAAGCCAAATTTCTGCAGCTCGATTGAGCTGTGGGACTTGGATCTCATGGTGTAAGTGTAGGTATGCTGCCCTCCTACCTGAGGGTGGTGGAGCGGGCTGAGGAGGGGGCTCGCAGGCTTCGTGTGCTGAGGAACTTGTACAGCGTGTGCTGGGTGACGATGCACAGTGCTGATGGAAGGAGGGTTCTCGTGGTAGAACTGACAATCAGATAGAGTGGGGATGGTGACGTTTTCTGGTAGAGACATCTAAACACGGAGGGGGGGGGGACAAGCCGTGAGAATCTTGCCAGGAAAAAAAACAGTCTTGCACAAAAATGCATTTTTGGAAGAACTGCTATGAATGAGTGAAACTTAGTAAAGATAAAAGTAACAAAATGCTACACAAGTAGGCTAGATAAAAGCTAAGAATAGCAAATTGCTAGGTAAAAGTAATAACACTAGTTAAATTTAGCAAAAGGCTTAGTAAATGTAGCAGAAAAATTGTTTAAAAAAAAGCCCAAGGCAACAAAAATAAAGTGTGCTGAAGCAGAGTTCAAATAGAACAATATTTTGGCATTTCAATTGAAAACATATTTCTAAAAAAATAATTAGGAAAAGAAAGTAATATTTTATAAAAACTTAGCAATATAAAACAAATAAACAAATAAATAAATAAATAAATCGTGCGACTTCCGAA